GCGGGCGGGCGGCGGTGCCCGGCCGGCCGGGGCAGAGGCCGGCGGGGTTCTTCTCGGGCGCCGGCGGCTTCCTGCTGCACGGGCAGCCGGCCTCTCCCAAAGGCTTGGTGCTTCCTTGCCTGCTTTTTTCGGCCTCTCCGAAGGGCTTGTTGCTTCCTTGCTGCTGCTTTATTGAGGGGTCGTGGGTGCTCCGAGTTAATGTAAGTGCCAGGGAAGGTGTTCGGCGAGGACCGGGTGTCGGAGCAATACTTACCGTTACTGTTGTCAGCCCGCTTCAGGAGTACCCATAGAGAGCCAGTGTGTTGTGTGGCAACTTCTTCACTTGCTTTATGATTGAGAATACTTCCACCATGCAGCACAACTCTGAAAGGAGTTTATGATCTACCCAGGACCTCATGGAAATACTGGATTGCGTTTTTTAAAAAATGGACAATGTATAATATGCCAGAGGTGCAGGTTTGCCTGTGCCGTTTTGGGTTGTTTGCAGAACCGTGACCTGCAGGAGAATATGTTAACTTAAAACACAAATGTCAGGAGGCTGATCTCATTCTGCAGATAGGCTTTGCTGGAGTACAGGGATTAAATGTACACAAGGGGTATGTCTGGGCAGTTTTCGGTTTCAGGGAATTTCTGGGTAGGCATCTTGGCACACCACTTGCTAGTCTGTTTCAAAATAGGTGCTATGTTTGGTGTGTGCAAATTATTTAGAAATTAGCAGAAATTTGGATCTCGTTGTGCTTGTGGTCAGGGGAATTACTTTATTTCTTCAAGCAGAAGAGAGATTGAAAGCTTATCTCAAAAGATTAAAATGTGAATTTGTCCATATTAATGCAGTAACATAATTCATTAACTTTGTACAGGTGGTTGATGTTATTTAGGTTAAATAGCCCAAATCTCTATTCAGTGCTCCTTTTCATTATTGAAGTTATTTTCTGTAGTTTCTTCTTGTAACTGTCTGGTATTTAAGTAGTTTGATAAATAGATTTAATGATTTTTTTTTTCCCTGAGTAGTTTTTTTGTTGAAAACTTAGTGACCAGCGTGGAAAAAAAATTTGATTCTTCAAGACTAGCTACTTCAGTTAAACTTACAAAAATTTACTTGTGTAAAACAACAGGACATTGGTCTTCACCACTGTTTTATCTTCTTAAGGGCAAATAAGTTGTAACTTTAATGCTTAAGCACTTTTGGCATATGATCTCAGACAAAACCCGGCAGTTTTTTAGGAGGTAAGTTGCATTTAAAACAGTACTAAATGTCAAATCCTATTCTGCCTTCAGCCTTTACTTACAGCTTCTTTACAAAAGATCCAGTCAGAGTTGTGAGTGAAATGTAAGCACTCAGTATGATGTGACTGCAAGGTGAATGCTAAACGAACTGGCTAGTGCTGCTGATATTGTGACTTTCCTGCCAGGTGTGACCACAGCAGTTTCCAGAGAACAACAAAGCAAAGGAAGGGCAGGAAGCTATGTTTTGAGACATATCTGCTGTTTAGTTCTTGGTTCTGAAACGAGTATTTCATACTTCACTTTGGCAGCAGCTTACTGCTTCCCAGGATTTGACACAGGCTTTCTAAAATGTCAGGGGAAAGATGTCAGGTTAGATGATTTAAAGCAAACGGGGACATGCTTTAAGTCTAGTGTTCTTGAGACTTCATCTGTAACCACTGCTTCGTGTTCCATGTTTGTCTCAGTATTATGGTTTTGTTTCATGTTGTTTTTGCTGTATTTCACTAACTGAAATTGTGTTTAACTGCTTGCTTTTGCTAGAAAGTAAGACTTTCTAGCCAACATAGCTGGGCTCAAACAACCCTTAGGGTATATTCAGTATAAATATGAAATATAAAAGTCCCAGCCTCTCCTGCTGTCTTCAGACTTGAATTTGGAATGTTTCTGTCTTTATCATTTATTTTGTTGCTGAAATTGAATTTATCTTTGAGCTCTGAACCTCTGTTTGACACCTTCTGATACATGCTTGCATAACTGTGGCTTATAAGCATTCTCTTCCATGCGTACCAATACAGAATCTGTTTTTCTTCTAAATGAGTCCTTCCATGCCAAATTCCCTACTAGAAAGTCAAGTGCTACTTTCTGAATTTAGATTTCAAATCCATGGTGAACTGTGTGTGATCTGCCAATGCAGAGAGCGAGCCTTTTCTGTAAGATCATATGGTCTGCGTTGTTTTTAGTTGGTGTGAACAGAGTCTGTGGATTAGCATTACACAGTATCGTATGGCAGCGTAAGTTCAGTTGTTCTGCAACCCTGCAGCTCTTTCCAGCTCTGTAGTGTGCTGCCTGTCTGTGTTGGTGCAAATACGCATTCGGCTGTGCTGTAAGCTGACATTAGCTGCACAGTCCATTTGGATGCATTTCCCTGTTCATTTTGCAGAGGTGCCATGCTAGGGGTGGGACCAGGCTAACTGAAAACGTGGTGTGCTGCTGGAGGAAGCTGAGAGCAACCCAGGGGGGGACGGGGTGGTGATGATCTCTAGCACCGATACTACCTCCAAATGCATGAAATGACTAAGTGTGTCATAGGATGGACTGAGTCCTCCTAGAACACTGTCTCCTGTATTTTCTACTTGGGCATTTCAGTAGCTCACTGCAGTTAAGAAATTTTAGAGGAAATGGGTTGGGACCTTTACATTTAATCCCTACTTGCCCTTCATATGAGGCTGGCTTCAGCAGGTGTCATGCTTCTTTTGAGTCCTTCAGTTAAGTGCACAGACTGCCACACAGTTCTACTTGGGTAAAATAGTCACTGATTGCATACCTAATTAGTAAATGTTAGTAAATGTAACTATCTCACACTCTTTTGTGACAGAGGGCATTCTCTTGTATGGCCATAAGTTGCTTGCCAGTCTGAGTATTCTGTACTTGTCTCCATCACAACATAGGTGTCTGCTCTCACCAGGTTGTCTGCATACATGTAGTCCAGCTCCACGTGATAAGAGTTCTCCAAATGCTTACTAATATGTTTGGGTTTTATAGGGTTAGGTGAGGGTGGCTTAAACTGTAGTCTGTCAGATCCCTTGCTGTTCATGTGAACAATATGTGTATTTTTATGCTGACTTTTGCTTCTTCAGTTGACATCCTGGAGTGTCCTTCCCCTTTGTTCAGGAATGTCAGGATTCCTGTATCAATCTGTGCCAGATAATTGAGGGACTGAGATCGTCTTCAGTGATTCAATGATCGATGTAGCCTGCACATTTGACGTTGCAGGAGAGTGGGGAAAGCAGGTGACCACAGCGGGCTCAACAGTTTTCAGAAATTTCTTGTTTCTTGCTCCCGAAAGCTGCCATATTTGCACAGACAACCAACCCTGTAAATTTTTTTCAAATGCTAGACACTGCTGGCTTTCATTTTTGCCTGAGTTGGACAAAGTGTCTCTTCTGATAGACCTTACGTTTGTTTACCTGCTAATGGTGACACTTAAAGATGATGGACAAGTAAATATGGGAAATTTCTTGGTCTCCACCTATACTGTAGAAGGAATAGAACCTGGTCACTGGGCTGTCAGAGTAGTCATTGAGAGAGACTGCTGATGCCAAAGATGGTCAATGAATTACAGAAACTCATTCCTCAATTCTGTCTGGTAATGCTACTCCAGTGAGAGGGTAAACTGATAAGAGAATAGCATGTCCCATGACATGCACTGTCAAGTTCCAAAATGACAAAGAAAGTAGAATTTTTTGAGAATTGTAAATTGTACATTTGTAATAGTTTTGGTAGTTAGTTACTTGAGGAGAGAGGCCTGTTTGCTGTGTGCTGAATGAACATTTAATAAAATATTGCTACTTTTTAGAGCACAAATGAAAGGCAGGATGTTGATTTGGTAGCTAAATAAGATATTGACAAAACTGCTTATGTGCTTAATTATTCAGTCTTTAAATATAATCATATTCTTCCTTGCATGTTTCCATTGAGCCTTTTTTGTACAAGCAGTTAGCTGTTGCATTGATGGGGTAGCAGGAACAGTTATAGCAGTTCATAAATTATTTCATATCTCTTGTTGACAAAGTAAAAATAGAATATATAAAAATAGAGAACCTCTATTCTAGAGAGCCTTCAATAGAGAACTTCCTCATCTTTATAGTGATCCATGAAACAAAACCTGATACTTTTCAATCTCTTACAAGGTTGAAAGGGTACAGGCATCTTCTGCAAGTTTTATGTTACGTGTTTGGTTAGATTAGGTAATATTTTCAAGGGTTCTTAGTGTGTTTAAAAATCAGTTGACAACTTCACTAATAGTTCCTACTGCCACTCAATGCATAATGCAATATCTGAACAAATACTCCACTGCCAGTAAGTGAGACTGTAATTTGCTTCTTGAGTACTGCTGTTGAGGTTTGTAGGTTGAGTAGTAAATATGAAATTATCAGTAAGTGTCCTATTACAGCTTTATTAAATTTTCTGGAACAGAGATCATACTAACAGAAAAATAATCTTTAAAAAGTTGTGAATTTTTCTCTCCTGGTAAGCTGTTAAGTGAGATAAACCAACTAGAAATATTATTCCTCTTAGTCCTTTCAATGACTTATTTTGAAACGCTTTGTATTTGAGTTGTTCTGTTTCTTGATATCTGTGCTAAAGTGATTTTCCTGCTGCAGTTATCTTTATGCCATAATTACTGTTTAAAATTACAGTTTTCATCTTTCTCAACAATTAATTCAACTGCAGACTGATTGACTTTTGAATATGCTATGGTTTTCCCTTGAATTCTTGAGTATGTAATTCCTGTTCTATATAGTATAGGCTAAGTCTTTGATTTTATGTGAAATGAGGCAGTGGTATCTTGGTTCATCTTAAAGAATTCATATAAAACAACTCAGGGTCTTGTCAGTGGAAGGCAGTGATGGCATGGAATGAGGAACACTTGTCCTTCACAGTGTATTGAGAAATGTGCTGCCTGCTCATGTATGCTAACTGCAATGTGTTTGAAACTTGTTTGTGTTACTGCTTTAGCCAGGTACTCTTTGGCCTGACAAATATGCAGCAAAAGCTGAGAATAAGTGATGAAATTAGTGTTTCAGTGTGTGTGAAGTTCTCCTGCAGAAGAATCAGGGAGTTGATATCCTCAAGTGAACTGTCAAACAAAGATGGAGATTTCACTATTCATGTCAATACCCTAATGAGCAGATGATTGTGGGGTGCTTGCAGGCTCTTCAAATGTCAGCTGTATCTCATGAAATGCATTGAGTTCTTAGTGCTGGTGTTGTGTATGGGATAGCTGAGAGAAGTTCCAGAAGGTTGCTTTTCAGACAGCGCCAAGGTAGTTGACAAAGCAGTGGAACTTCTGTGCTGTTTCAGCATCACTTTCCTTGAGACTTTGAATAAATTACAAGTTCATAATACACTCAGAGTCCATTTAGCCTTTTTTTTTCTTCCAGATAATGGGTTTTCCTTCTCACTACATTATATTACTTGTCCTTGTCTGAGAATAGACATGGGTTTTTCTTCTTCCTGTGGGGGTTAGGACTGTGACTTTCAGTTCCTGCACCATCAAGTCTTTAAGGCTTTTTGGTATGGGTTGATGTTAATACTAGTCCTTTATTCTTTTTTAATAGAGAATGTTCCTCTCAATACAACAGTATTTTTCAAATAAGACAAAACTAATCTTCCTTGTGATGTGCCACTTTGCCCAATTGTGCTGCCATTTGCATGAAGTTCCAAAGGTTAGGGTAGATTTTCTGTATGCTGAAAAAAGCCAGTGAAAATCAGGATTGAGATATATGGAAGGAAATTCCCTAAAACCTCACTTTTTAAAAAAATATATCTGGGTTAAAAAAAGAAATTACTTCTGGTTCCTCTTTGTTTAACTATCCATGTACACTTCACAACTTTCCAATGCTTTTGTTGCTTGTTTTACATATGAGGCTGAACAGTTGAGAATAAACTAGGTGTATGGTTGTGTAAAAAACCGGGAACAAGCAAGTTCTGTAGCACACATTTAACAACCATTCTTAATGTGTGTTAATTTCTTGTGCTTCCTTTGAGCAACAAGCATGGGCAAAAGAGTAAGACCACAGAAGAGGAGAAATATGATGACAAAAAATACGTGTTACTCAAACTGTTTGATCCGAGCCTGAAACTTTCACCATGAAGAAAGAATCATTCCTTAGTCAGAAAGGTAGCAATGGGCTACAGACCTTAATTTTTTCAGAGTTTAAAAAGCTGTCATGAATTGAAGCCATGTAGGTGACTTGTTATAAGCTGCATTCTGACAA